ATTAGAAGTAACGTGCATGTTGGCCCCAGTATCCAATATCCATTCAGAGGAGGGGCCGGTTTGAGATGCATAATTGGCACGGTTATCACCATTTCGGCTCTCCTCATACCGAAACCAGCATCGAACAGCGGTGTGTCCTGTTTTTTGACAGATTTGACAAGTTGGACGATCCCGCTCGTAAATGCCCTGCCCACCGCTGGAAGATGACTGTCCGCCGCTGCCGAAAGAGTGCAGGATGTTGTTGCTGCCGTGCTGCTGACCGTCGTACGGCGGACGACTGCCTTGCCGGCCGCCACCACGCCCCCCGCGATAGTTATGGCTTGCGGTGAGGGCGGTGGCCGGCTCCATAATAGCGGCTTCTCGGAGAAGAAGTTTGCTCTCCAGATCCATGTTGATTTCTTCACTTTTTAGCCACAAGGATAGAGTAGCCAGGTCAACGACCATTAGACTGATGCGAACCGCCTGTTCAATGGAGGAGTAAGCTGATGGGAGCCCTCGAACGACGCACATGATGAGATCTTTTTTGGGAATGATTTCGTTCACGGTGTCGAGGGCTGTGATGATGGTGGAGACTTTGTCTAAATACTCCGCCATAGTTTTCGTGCCTTTGGTAATTATGAGGAAACAATCACGCAATTGAAAAATATGAGAGTGGGAAATTGATGCATAGCGTGTTGCGAGGGCCGTCCACAGGACTGAAGCAGTTGTGTAGGATCGGACATGTTTCTGAACCGTGGGAGAGATGATCGGATCTGGCCATCCACGGCTTTCCAGGCGGCATGGGCCGGATTGGTTTTTTCTGATTTTTCCGTGGCGGTGATGACTGCCGGCGGCGGTTCTGTGCTTTCGTTGACGTATTTGAGAAGGTAATTGGCCTCAAGGGCTGTAAGAACGGTGATTTTCCATGTAGGGTAATTTATGTCTGATAATTTTTTGGAAATCAGGGCATTGAAGATGCCTGGGAAGGAGTTAAATGCCAGAAGGAAGTGAATCGAGAGGATCCACCTCGGTTGTCATGGTTGCCGCCTCCAAGAGAAGAGAGGGAACAATCGGTGCCCTAAAAAGAGAAAAAAAAACCTAGAGAAAAGAAGATCTAGGTTTTCTGGCTCTTGATACCATGAAGGAATATTGATTGTATTGAAGTGTTAACCTAATAAGAGAATACATGGGAGATATATATAGGAGATATAGGAAGGAGTACAAATCCTAATAGGACTAGGATTAAGGAGTACTAATCCTAATAGGACTAGGATTAGTACACAGTAAATACTAATATTATTTAATACTATTTATTTAATACTATCTGTTATTATTACATAGCTTTGTAATATTTTGTTGAGACTTGAAATTTAATAAGGTGGAGTTAAATCCTACAGAGGTGTAGGTCGTGGTTTTTACCCTTGTGAGTTGGGGTTTTCCGCGATAAAATATTGTGTCATTATTTTATTTACTTCACAAAACGTAACTGCTGTAATTTCTCAAAAGAACATATAGAATAAACCTGTTCCTAAGGCGAATTTGGGGGTCATAAATCCAACAATTGGTATCAGAGCAGGTTATCTTTGAAGAGTCTAACAACTCAAGATAGGATCATAATGAATTCTGCACCTCTTCTTGGGCATGGTCAAGGGCAACACATCAACATACCACCATTATTTAATGGAGAATACTACTCTTGGTGGAAGACAAGAATGGAAGATTCAAGCTGAAGATTACGAACTATGGGTTAGAATTACTAATGGACCATTAATTCCTACTATTGCTGATAGTGAAGGGAATAAGGTACCTAAACCTATAGAAAAGTATGGAGAAGCCGATTACAAGATGTTAGGGAAGAATGCAAAATCTAAGTGCATTCTGGTATGTGGATTAAGACCTGATGAGTTTAACCGCATCTCTAGTTGTACCTCTGCAAAACAAATATGGGACACTTTAAAAAATGCTCACGAAGGTACAACTCAAGTTCGTAAATTCAGAATTGCCAGACTTTATTCTGAATATGAAGCCTTCAAAATGAAACCCGGAGAATCACTTCAAGATATTATCACCAGATTTACCACTGTTGTAAATGAGTTAATATCCTTGGGCAAAGTATACACCACTGAGGAACAGGTAGACAAAGTACTAAGGACTCTGCCTAGATCATGGGAAATAAAAGTTACTGCAATCAGAGAAGCCAAAGATCTAACCAATATGACTTTGGATGAATTAGTAGGAAATCTCAAAACTTATGAGATGAATGTTGACAAAAGAGGTGAAGGAAAAAAGAGAAAAATCTTGGATTTAAAGCAACTGAAAGTGATGAATCTGACATAGATGATGATGATCTTCCTCTGATAAGTAATAACTTCAAGAAACTCTTAAAAAGGGGATTAAACGCTAGCAAGAAATCACCACCCCAAAAAGAAAGAAATCTT